GAAGAAATCGGCAACAGCAATAAAATAAGATACTCGTTTCATCCGGCGAGGAGATGGTTCGAACGCCCGCTTCGGGGGGAAAATTACAGCCACGACGCGTGTGTAACGTTGCGTGCGTTATTATTGGCGTGCGAGAGAAAGAGAAAGAGAGAGAGGTGATTCGAAGAGGTCGGAAGGTCGCCGCGTGGCGTATCGCTCGTTCGCTCGAGTCAACCAATTAGCACGCTGATCGAGAAGGCTAATGGAGGTCGTGTTCAAGCCGCGGAACGATCCTCGACTTGTGCGCTGCTGGCGCGCAACATCCAGAGATGTTGGAATCGCATCGCGCGCGCGAACCAACGGATTACTGATACGCACGCACGCCTTACCGTCCCCTACGAGCAATTTCCGCGTCGAACGCGACCTTAGGATTTTCGAACCTAGGTTCGAGCACCTAGCAAGCGCCACTTGTGATTTTTGGCGCGCCTTGTATCAAAGAAATCTCTGGTTGGTTCCTCCGATGCTATTTGTCGATCAATCCCTCGTCACGACGCAACCCTGTCTGAAATTTCCATTCAAAGTTCACACTTGGTTTCTTCGTTGGAGTTCTTCGAACGTTAAACCATTTGCATCCGTGAACGGAATATTCACCTATCACCGAGCGTCGACTATTCATTCCGCGATCGGCGATCTTCGTTTATATATGTCAGTCGAATGCCGCTGACGTCTCAGCGTAGTAGCATAGGTAGAGTCGTGATGCGAATGGGTTAAACGAGCGTACGAGCGACGCCTGTTTAAGAAACACTGTAACTAGACTAGAGTAAGATACTAAGTAAGGGCGTGAAGGAGGGGACGCAATGTGGCAATCGCGAGAGCAATCCTCGAACGTTGAATTTGCTGGTCGAACGTGGAAGTTGCCGGCACGGTTGGCACGGAAACTACCGTTGAACGGTGGAACGCGTTTTCCGCGTTACGTTATCCTTGCAGCACGCGTGCACGCCCGGGGCATCGTTCTCGATGTCTCGATGACGCCCGAGGCGCAGGTTCACCCTCGAGATTCCTTTCCGCGTAGAGAGAGAGAGAGAGAGAGAGGAGCGTTCCACCTCTCAGGACCTGGCATTCTTTCGTGGATACTCAGCTTTATACCCGGAAAGCCGTTCGTCGTGCATTTTTTTCACCGCGCTAGAAAAGGACGAGCCGCCGCGCCAGGACAAAAGGCAACGCCGTTGCCATACCGTACGTTTCGTTGCTTCCAGTCTCTCTCTCCCAGAGAGATACACGGCGTTTATCACAGCCTTTTTTGTACCGTTACCGCTGTCCCGTTTTCGCTTTGTGTTTGATTTCTTTCCTCCGATCATCCACCGTCCGCGCATGAATTATTTATCATTTCGATCGAGTAATCGCCACGCTCTCTGGAAAGATCGGCTCTCGACTTTCTCCGACAAATCTTCTTCTCGGTTAAATTGTCCATTTGTATTTCTCGCGCAGTGCCAATGAATCTTCGCAACAGCTGACTCAGATTTGCCAGAATTGGCCGTGAAGAGACGAGAACTATGCTCGAAACGAGTATATATGGACGTATCTTGGAAGTTTCATACACGTTCGTTGATCTCGTTTATCCGCGCGAATTAAATTCCTCAAATTTGTGTGTTCTTTGAATTTGTTCGACGATTGAACTCGGTTTTGTTTCAAGCGAATTTTAACGACCGACGAAACAGATTTTACAATCGCGGAAAAAAAAGAAAAAAAAAATATATATATATATATACATATATCAATGAGACAAGCGAGCTCTCGAGCGAATAATCAAAAAAAAAAAAATTTTTTTCAGCCGCTTTGCGTGCACGTCGACCACGCCTGGAATGTTTTTCATAGAATTTTCCCAGTTCCGGCGAAAACATATTTTTAAAATCAAGATATCCTATCGGGAAAAAATATTTGAAAAAAAAAAAAAAAAAAAAGGAAAACACGCGCATGAAAATACCCAAAGTACGATGCCGGCGCCAAAGCGAGCGATTTTCCGCGGAAAGCGTTTTTCGTAAAAACGTGCTCGAATTACGGATTCAATTAACACTTCGTTTACAATCTGTTAAAACGACTGTTTTGTTTTTCATTTCCGCATCATCGCGCGCGCAAAAAAAAAAAAAAAATTTTTTTTTCTTTTTTTCCTCTCTACCTACCGTTTTCCCAGCGAGTTATTTAACCAGCGAACTCGAGTTCGATTCGACGTCGCTCTCATAACTGATATCAGGACAGACAGACAAACAGGACAGACGGAATTTTTGATCGAACGAGTTTCGTTCCTTTTGGCAATTTCGCTTCATTCGCTCCGAACGGATTTTTCCATCGAACAACAACCATTCACCGATAAAAGATACGCGCAAGATCGCGTTTTATTTGCGTACCTGTATTTTCGCAAATAATACTCTCGTTCGCCTGGTACCGGAATAGTAGAACTCGCGTTTCTTTTCTCTCTTTCTCTCTTTGTAACGCGCGCGTGCAAATTTACTGAAATCTGTTTCACCGGGATCTCTAAAAAAATCTGACGACAAGACAGCTTTTAGAGGCGGAGGCGGACTTTTCGAAAATACGAAAGGCGTGCCGGTCTATTTTTGTACGGTGAGATACACGCGGGATACCTCCTCCTCCCTCTTGTCGCTCGATTTACGACCACGGGAAAATCGCTTCGAATTTCGCTGGTTTCGCTGGTTTCGCTGGTTTCGCTCGTTTGGCGACGAGCTCTCTGTTGTCCCACGGCAAACAAATCACCTCGGCAAATCACGAACGATCCCTCTCCCTCTTCTTACGTAACTCGCCGCCACCCTCGAAAATGCTAATAATGGATCACGGTCCGAACCCGCTCGGCCACTTTGCCGCGTACGTGACTTTCGCAGAAATATTTTACACCGCTGTTTTACAAACAGCGCCCGATTAAGGAACCCGCCCGCGTTTACGGAACAAACGAAAACTGTGCACAACTTCGGGAACTGTACGTGCGTAGAGCCAAGTTTCAAATCGCGTGTCAATGATGCGCGCCAAATGCGCGAGTCCTTTCCTCTGAAGGAGCAAATCTTTCCTCGTTATCCACGATTTCGCGAAAAGAGATCGCACGGCGATTAACCACAACAGAAACGGATAGAAAATGAAATTGAATCGATCGGTGGTCCAAAAAAATCCGTTTTTCTAAATCCGATTTAGAAAAAAGGAGAAAAGAGAAAATGGGCTTTAGATCTGCACGTGATCGAAATGTCGCGGTTGCGTAATATTAGTCTCGATATGGAAAGGCCGCGCGAGTGCGTGCGAGTCGTTTCCACGCTTTCCGAAGACGCTCGCGAGCGTAACCGCGAGTCGCCCGCGTGAGTAACGAGCCGATTTCACCGCGGTGCCCGCGTGAAAGTCGGGACATCCGGTCCTCCGCGAGGAAAACCTGCCCTGTCTGCGCCCCTTCTTTCCCTGCCTCTTGTTATTTATCATTCCGCGTTCGGCGTAATCGTAAGCTCTCTCTCTCTCTCTCTATATATATATATATATAGATCGATCGTATCGCGAGCGAACGTTGCCACCGGCTGCCTCTGCGGTATTCGATATTACCCAAGTAATACCTTGACTCTCTAGTATCACTCTAGTAATCCAGATCGACGCGTGTATTACGCGCAGCGACTCGCAAAACTATCGAAACTCTGTCTGTCTCGAACGGAGAGAAAACGTGATTTCGAGATTCGATCGTAAATAAGACGCAAGTGTCGCGAATTATCCGTCACGTTGATTGATTCGAGTATTCATTGACCGTGTACGCGTTAAACACGCCAATTGCGCCGTCTCGTTTCGATCCGTGTTCCAAGATCGTTTTGTAGATAAATAGAGTACGCTCTTTCTCAATACTCTTGCAAACCAACGATACACGTACGCTCCGTCAATCGAACATCCACGTTTCTGCGATTGCTTGAAATTACGATTAACCGAATCGTTGATCAATTCTCACTCAGTCGGAGAATAATTTTTATCCAAATTTTGCTCCGCCTTTCCTTTTCATACTTTTTTGATACAGTTACTCGTTTAACTTTTTAAGTACCAACGTCCGATCGACGGTCTCTCTCTCTCTTCTTGTTTTGAGTAGCTTGAGTCTTTATTTGATTTGATTCACTTTGAAAATATGATAGGAAATACGATAATTTATATAAAAACATGTAAAATTAAACTTTGCCTGGCGATTTAAATCCGTCCACTAGCGAAAGGGGATTTAAATACCACGTCCTTAGAAGGTTAATACAATTTACTTGGCAACTAATTGCAAATTGCGTTTTCCCGCGCGTTCCAAAACAAACGAGCAAAATCAGAATTTGAAATAGTTGCACGTTCGAAGAAGTATTAACAATTATTATTATTATTATTATTATTATTATTATCATTACTCGGCGAATAAATTAATATTTGACGACCACGGCGCAACACAGTTTGCGAATGTACATATATATATATATATATATATATACACAACGAAAGTATTTGAACGGCATGATAGAAAATAATTGATTATACAAAAATTGTACAATAAGTTACAATTTATTGAAACAAATTGTTTTTATACTATTGTATATACATTTGCTAAATAGTGCTAAATAGTGCAAAGTGGCCCAACTAGATATTAAAATGCAATGTAATCGCATATATTGCATTCTGTCATAATTATTAAAATTGCGTTCGAATATTTTTGTTATACCTTATGCGTACTTATTCGTGAAAAATGTTATGTAATTTGTTTACTTATGGCTTAATTTTTCTCCAACTTTGCACACATTCAGCAAATGTACATACAATAGTATAAAAACAATTTGTTTCAACAAATTGCAATTTATTCTACAATTTTTGTATAATCAATTATTTTCTATCGTGCCGTTGGAATACTTTCGTTGCTCGCTGTATATATATATATACACACACATATTCAGCAAACCGCACGATCCCCCTTCTATCTTCAACTGTAATTCAACATGTACGATCTCACGATGTCTGCATTATAGGTGCACCCACGTCGCCGTCATCCTGACCTGCTCGAGAAATCCTCATGAAAGACTGGGAACTCAGTACTCAGAATAGCATCGGTATTGTAGCCATTTCTTTTTTTTTTATTTCCCCCCACCCCTCTCCTCCCTCCCCCCTTTCTCTCTCTCTTTCACTCTCTTTTTAAATGGCCCGCCATTCATCGTGGCTATTGCTTTGCCGTTACTTTTTTTCTTCCCTTTTTCTATCTTTTTATTTCTTGCTGTCTTCTCTTCTCTTTCCCTATCTCTTCTCTCTTTGTTTCGTTTTTACTTTACTTTTAACGGAAACAGTCTCAACAAAGGTGCGGTAGCTTTGGCGGTGGTGGTGGATCGTAGTTTTATTTGATTTCAATAATTTCCCGACGCGAAACACCGCGTAAGTTTCAATTCGCGCGATCGTTTACTCATTCGGTCAAGCTTCAAGTTTCTAATTGGCTCCAAGTTTCCGTTTCAGCCTCTCTCTCTCTTTCTCTCTCTCTCTCTCTTTCTGTCTCTCGTTTTCGTTTCCTTTTGTTTCTCCTTTCTTTTCAAGTCGCCACGAGTACACATTACGCTTTCGATAGACGGTCAGACGTTTAACTACGCGTACTCGCTGCAACTCGTTGGTAACTATTGCGTAACGTTGCATTTTCGCGTTTAGCGGATAGTGAGTTCCTTCCAGGAGGCTGGATGAATTTCTAAATGCAATTCGCACGATTTCTCTCTTGAGCGTGCTTTTTCCTTTTTCTTTTTTTTTTTTTTTTTTCTTCGTCGTCCTCTTTTCCTTTGCAAGAGACACACGCGTTCAAGTTCAGCGTGCGTTTTCGTGAAATTTCGAGTCGTACGCGACGCGCCCCAAATTTTAACTGTCATCAATTCTAGTCCCGTTAGTACAAAACTCCCACGGATACGGACTCGTGGAACTCGGCCAAAAATCAACCCTGTTGATTTCGACAAAGGTCGTTATCTTCTCCAACGTTTCTTTCACCTCTCGAATCTCTTCAGTTTCTCAAATTTCACACGCACCCCATTTCCAGCTCTCGAGAGTCTCGAAACTGCTTGCTCGTCTCTCCGACATTCGATATATTTATCGTGGAGTGACAGTGAGACTCTCGTCTAGTTTTAGTTTCCAAGCTTGCCCGAAATCGAATCAACAGAGATTCCAGATTCCAGAATCGTAAAAAAGGAAGAGCCCCCCCCCCCCCCCCCCCCAATCGATCACGCGAAAACATATCCGGCGCATATCGTGTGTGTATCCTCGCTCAGCGAAACCTCGAATCTGCCGGTCCTTTCCTCCGATCGTTCTCTGTGTTTCTCCGTCTCTCTCACTCCCTCGTCTCTGCGGGGAGCAGGAGAGGGAGACGAGAGTGGCCGCAACCGCGAATTACTTCGCAATTTCCCGAAATTGCGCAATCCGTGCAGGCTAATGGCCACCGGGTCGCTTTGCCGCCGCGCGGAGGGGAAGCGTTTGCGTGTCTAACGCTGGAGGGGGCCGCGAACGCTTGATAGAAAGGGCCGCGGGAGAGAGAGAGAGAGAGAGAGAGAGGAGAACGGGTTGGGTTGGGAGAGAGTCGAAGGGATGGACGACAAAGCGGTGGCCGGCCGCTGTGTTCGAGGGGAGGAGGTGGCCATTAATTAAGCAAAATCATAAACCCGGCCGGCCGCGAGGTTCCACTGAAAAATATAATAAATGGTCCGATGATCGGGGCCCCCGTCACTTTCACGAACAAGATCCGCGGGCACCGTCATGACCGTTTGCGACACGAAGCGGATTTTATTGCCAACTCTCTCTCTTTCTCTCTTGCGCGCGCGCATTTCAAACTCGTCCAAACGATCGACTCCACCTTTTCGGGTCTTCGCGCAGATTTCGTACTTTTCAAAGCGTGAAACGTGGAAAATCGTTTTTGCTTTACTTTGGATATTTCACAAGTTCCGGGGGTAAATGAGACTTTTTGTACCTTTTTGATTTAACGGAGGTGATGTCGCTCGGTTCATTTACGACCTCGGAGAAAAGAACCGATCGACCAACTTTTTTTTTTTTTTTTTTTTTTTTTTCTCTCGCCAAACCTTTTCCCGTGCAAAGTCAATCGCATAGACGCGCATACTTTGCTTTCGTTCCGCTTTTGTTTCTTCCTTGGTTTTTTGGCCTTTTATTTCCCGTTTCGGTGCGTTTATTTATAAATGATAAATGGAGTTGTTTGACGAACGATGGAGATTGAATGGCGCTTTATATTCTATTATACTCTCGCGTTTCGACAGTTTTCTTTTCTCTCTCTCTCTCTCTCTCTCTCTCTCTCTCTCTCTCTCTCTCTCTCTCTCTCTCTCTTTCTTTCATTTTATTTTTCGACATTTTCCTTGGATCGGTTTCGTTTCCACAGCTATCCGTTATAACCGAGTATCGGTTTAACGAGATCGGTTTTGAATTTCGGTCGATCGTTGGCTGCGACCCGTTGCGACGCCCCGTTATTAATGGAATGCATTGTCCGCCGCGGGAAGCCGTTGACAGTTTCTAGATTTATTAAATCGCGCCGCTGGAATATAGATATATATATATTCAGATGGCCGCGTTCACGCGATCGCTCGGAGAAACGAGGGAGCATGGACGGACCCACCTCCTCCATTTTGCGCAGTGTATCGACAAATTCTTCCGCGCGACGACTTTTTCCACCTTGTTTTCCCGGTCTATCGGGAACCAACGAAACGAACGTTTCGCAGACGACAAACAAGCTGCCGGTAAGAAACGATACGCGCGTGAAAAATGTCGGAGGGAAAAGTTGGAACCTCGTGTTAGTTTACGCTCGACTTGCCACCGGCAATTGCCCGCGTCACAATGCTTCGTTACGCGTTATCAGAAACGCGTGGCCACGTGCGACTTGCGTTAATCGTTACGGCCTTCTTATCGATTCACTGTCTCTCAGACGTAGGGCACTGGAAGGACGAGGAGGAAGAATGGAACTCGGTGAATGATTAATCGCGGTCATTAGCTGGCGAGGTTTATCGTTTCGTTTCGTTCGAACGCGAGACATTCTAATTACGAAAAAAAAAAAAAGAAAAAGAAAATACACGTCTGTCATTCACGGATCGATCTGTGTCCCTGCGTGATCGAGACTCGTTTATGGCCGCGTATCGTATCGTATCGTATCGTATCGTATTATGCGGCGCGATTTTTTCTTGAATTAATCCTCCATTTAACAGTAATTTCAACGCCAGCCGCGACAAAGCGAGGCATTAAAGAAAGAAAGAAAGAAAGAGATGTTTCAGAGCAGTTTGCACGTATAGCACGCGAAAATCAAGGAAAACACGCGTACGTAATAAACACGTATACAGGCTGGGCGTTAATTTCCTGCTGGGCAGTTGATCGTTTTTCAAGAGACAGGACCAGCACCGGTAATTATCGAGCAGGCTAATTGGCCAGACTATTTCTTGCGGTAACTTGATCGGCTCGGGATCCGATCGGCTCCCAATTACGATTCCCTGAATGTGTTACCGGCGTGTGTGTATCGTGCGGCCTCCCCTGACGCTGGCGTATCTGTGCACCTGAAGAAAAAAGCGTAACCAGGCGAGATAGAAAGAAAGAAAGGAAAGGAAGGGTGGAAAAAGAAAGGAGAAAAAAAGAAAATGAAAAGAGCGAGAGGAAAGTAAAAATTACCGGTCTCACCGGTTAAGCATGGCGATCGCTGCTAGTTAGTCGGAGAAAAATGGCCGATATATTCTCGACTGCCGGTGGCTCGAAAACAACAGACCCTGAGCGGACGTGTGCACGTTTTCTTCGTCGTGCCGACATTTACACATTCACGACCGGCAATTTCCACGTACAATTCACAAAATTGTAATTTCTGTAGTGATTCGTTTCTATCCAACTCTTTGTCGCTTCGTTTGTATTGTACTGTATCAGAAAACGGCGTCTCCCTCTTCCGTAGTTTATTAAAGGATCAACGTGTAAAGAATATATGTAACCTAGCAAAAATTTGAAACTAATGTACTGATAATTTCGACAAAGAAAGAAAAAAAAAAAAAAAAAAAAGAAACGGGTGACGAACGATCAGTTTCTCGCCATACGAACGTTTACCAAAC